TGGCTGGTCTTGTAACCACCTTCTTGGAGTCTCAAGGCATCACGTATGCTCTCACTGAGAAATGACCCACTTGTCTGATGGACAAAGATGGCAAGGTTACCAACAAATCTGATGTTCACCAATGGAAGCAATGACCTCAAGGCTAAAGGAAACATGAAGCTGCACCTGACCAAGGTTGTCAGGGCTAACATTCCTGAATCAAATGCTGTCACAGCTGCTGGAATTTGGAGTACTTGATGGAACATATAGTAGCACCAAGTCTGTAGACCTGTTTGCACTGTTCCAGTCAGTGTTAAACACCCAAGTACAATGCTACCCAGCATCCTGATCAACAGCTGCTGATTATCAAAACTGCCTTCACTACCTTGCACCAACCTTAACTGAGAAAAAATGAGATCTCTTGGGACTAACCTTTATCCCAACCCAAACCTGAACCTGAACCGCTAACCTCCGTGCCCAGAGGGGCACAGCTTGTTCAAGACACTAAGGCCATCAACACCTATTGTGGAGGGATCGCGGCGGCAATGATTGCAATGAGCTCGCACATGCTGTGGTGATGCAATGTCAGCTGATAGAGGCCACGCTATGGCTGTAGCCATATAAATTGCTTTCAAATCTATGGCTGTAGCCATGGCTCGGCTACAGCCATAGATTTGACTAACTCCGCTATGGCTACAGCCATAGCATTTGACTAATAGCTAGCACTAAGGGTGCTCGTGGAAGGTTTGCCCTCTTCTAAGTACAAGTTGGACTGACGGACTGCAGGGCGAGTTTGCCGTGCACCATCAAGCCGCAGTGGAATCGGTACGATGTGGACCAGACTGAAATGCTGTTTAATAGGACCGAGGCGGGAGTGAGGCTTGTCCAGGCGTTCAACACCGATCCGCTCCTGGACGTGCGCTGCAGGTGGGGGATTTGTCATTCCGGGGCTTGCCGCGCCTGATGTTATTTTCTAGATTCTGGAATAATGCCCGCCAATCGCCGGTGGGATGGTAGATCTCAGGAGGAGATGCTGATCAACCGCCGAGTCCTATCTTAGCACAGAAAAGGAATTGAACAATCTTCTCATCTCGACTCTCCATCCGCAATGTTCCACGTCATTCGCCAGACAGTGAGAGAGTGTCCGCCTTCATTACAGACAGGGCATTTTGAGTTCACTATAAAGTATACAAGTACCCGACAATCCGCGTATTCCTGTGCTCCGCCCCTACGAGCGCCATTCCGAATGGGGATGCAGGCCCCAATTCTCCAACCACGTCTGGAACTCGCCGGCGATCTTTGCATGCCCCGCGACAGTCGGGTGTTGGTTGCTGAAGAGCGGTCAGTACAGTGAGCGCGATGCGTTCCCGCGCGCGGCAACGCACTCTGGGAAGACATCTGCGAAGGTGACCCAGCCGGTGGTGTTGACGAGGAAGATGTTCTTGTCGTCGTGCTCCGTTCTGCATCGCTGCGGTCAGACGAAATTCGGGAGTGTGGATGGGGACAGAACGTGCTTTCTGAGATTCACGATCTTCTCGTATTCTCCGGGGTAGTAGTAGAAGGTCGGCGCGTCGGCGCTTGGCCAGCCCCACTGCGAACCTGAATGAGTTCCATGTTGGCCGAGCGGGAGCTGAACGCACGGGCGAGAGTACGAAGATGGGAACATGTGCGTACTCGCGCATGGATCGGAGACGGGCCAGGAAATCGGTGTAGACCTGCTCATTCGTCAGCTTGGGAGACTTTGGGAGGAGGAAAGTATGGTGACCTGGACGAACTGATCTGCAGGGACATTCTGACCGGAATCGTTGGCACTGAGAACGATCTAATCAGATCCGGCCCGCGGGTCTAGGGGGACGGACGCACCCGATGTGGATCACGAGGTGCGTGGCCGGGGTGTCTTTGGAAAAGTCCCACGGCGTCGTGTAATTGTGGTCCGTGGTGTAGTAATACCCCGTGTCCTCGGTCTACGAAAAAGTCATCAAGGTGAAATTGGTAGCCGGGACTCCGTCGCGTACACGGAAGAACTGGAATGAGAGGCCGTGCGCGTTCCCGTACGAGAAGATGTCCTGTCCAGGAGGATCAGCCGTGGTGATCACAGCCGGAGATCTGTGAGTGGCGTACGGTCAATGCAGCACCCGGCTGTGCTACGACAACGTGCTCGGCCTTGTACTGCTCCCCCACGAGGAACGGCCAGGCCTGATCGACACCCTTCGGAAGGAATTGTCCCTGCGCAGCATGAGCACGGGCTGGGGGTGGGGCGACGCGAAAGGTTTACGGCGGACAGAGAGTCTCCGATGAACTGGAACACGGTTCTCGAGGGTGTGTACGGGACCAAGGACGCTCCCTGCCCATCAAGAATCACACCTCGCACGGATAATCCTCACGACAGACGCACTTCGTTCAAGATGATCTCCTCGAGATTAATCCTATTCGCCTGCCAGCCCTCGACATTGACCCTGACGACCGTCGCCTCCGACTTCTTCTTGCCCAGAGCGGACGGCGGCAACGGGATCTGGTTGACGCCCGCGGACACGTTCGCCGTAATGAACGCGCCGTAGTCGACCGACACGCCGACAGCCGCGTTCGGCTGCGTCGTGTGCGGCCCGAGACTAAGCGCGAGCGATTGGAGGTTGGCGACGTGCAGCTTGAAGCCGGAGCCCGCCCTGCACCACGCGGTTTCGCAACGACTCGGGTGCATATAGGGTATGGCGCGACGCACCACCAGGTCCCGGGCGACGTGTCCCACCGGCCGTGGAAGTAGACAAGCGGATCCGTGTTAGAGATCGTCACGTTTTTGGGGCCGGCCATCGCGAGGCGGGCGAACAGCAGAGCGAGCGCGGCGGCACTGAGATGGGCTCGCATCGTTTTGCTCTCCACACGTCCTGGACGAGAGGCGGTTTATGTAGCCTCGAGGGCTTCTGTATGACTCTGGGGTGATGTTCCGAGCATTCTCCGAGGTTACAGAAGAGTTCAGAAGAGAGGCCTCGTGAGGGGGTGAGCTCAATGGATTGAGTCAGGAAGCACGTGGCACGAGCGCAAGCCGGAACGGTCCGATCACGGCGATCAGCGAAAACAACAGGATCTACGTTACCGTCCCCCCTTACAAGAAACCCGACAGCGAGTGTCCCTTATCAGCGCTTGGAAAAAAACTAAGGAATTGTTTAGTTTGCGGTACGAACCAAACCGAACTCCGTCTCAAACATCGGAACCCTAGTCCTTTCTGTGGCAGAACGTGTTTTCTAGGATTCTTGGACCAGAGTTGACAAGGACCTTGGAGGTTGTACTTGAAGCATCATCATCTAAGTTTTGTCAATTTTCTGGGCTCGGTGCTCGGCACCCTCTTGGGTTCGCATCAAACTATCACCGTGGGAATCGAAAGCTGAACTTCAACACGGAACATTGCGCTCACATGACCCTCATCGATCGATCGTCGCTGATGGATTTGTCATCCTGCCAATCAGACACCTCGATCTTTTGCCAGGCATATGCTCCTCGTCTCCCGCCGACTCCCCCTCCCCCTCCTCCATCCCGGAAGACAGCGAGCATACATCGCACGTGCTCCTACAAAAAAGCTCTTCGTTCAGCCGTCGTACATAACTCTCCCGTCGCGATCCGCAGTGAAGATGATGACAGACACGGACGGAGGCAAGCCCACACGGGCGGCGTCACCGGGCTCCGACACGTCGCCGTCCTCGCGACCAGCAGCCAAGAAGCCGCGCCTCAACTCGCCCGACACGCCGCACGCAACGCCGGGCACCGCCTCCCCCAGCCTCAGAGCGAGCGACGCGACGCAGCCGAAACGCGGGCCAAAGAAAACGGGGCCGACGAGGACGCAGAAGCGCAAGGCGCAGCATGGTGCGCTGCCCGAGTTCTGTTCGCACGATGACGTGCTGTGGCGCGAGATCAAGGAGGTTCTCGGGGCGGAGTACGTCGATGGGTGCGTCGAGGCGGGCACGGGGCGCGACTCGCCGCTGGCGTATCATGCGGAGGTGGACGTGGAGGTGAAGGCGATCTCGTCTACAGGTGTGTCATATTAGTGCTCCTCTGTATTGAGTTCTGCTGCTCACGGGCACCCGTGCCAGGTAGCGCGGTCGGGGTCGTGCTTGGCTCCGCTGTCCCGTGGGCAGTGATCGTTCCGTTCTCTTTGCCGGGCGAGATTGTGCGCGCCAAGATCTACCGCAACGCGAGGATGCATTCGTTCGGTGACTTCAAGGAGGTGGTCAAGCCGAACCTAGAGTGGAGAGACGACAGTCGCGTGCAGTGCCAATACTTCGCCAAGTGCGGTGGGTGTCAGTATCAGGTGATTGCTCACTCTGGGAGAACTAAGCTCTGACGACTGATTCTGTGCTAGATGCTGTCGTACGAAAAGCAGCTTGAACTGAAGCGCGACGTGGTGGTCAAGGCGTACCAGAATTTCTCCGGTGAGTCTCCTCGTCGTCAATCTGCGTGAAGAATCTCACTCTTCAAGGCCTCGAGCAGTCAACCCTGCCGACCATCGGAACGACAATGCCATCACCCGAACAATACAACTATCGCACCAAACTGACACCTCATTTTGAGGCTCCGAACTCGAAGCAGAGGAAAGAGCAGGACAATCGTCAAAGCGATACCGAACGGCCGGATTGGTTCAGGATCGGATTCAACGAGAGCGGATCGCAGAGGGTGATTGACATTGAGGTGTGTTGGTTGCTTTTTCCTAGTGGTGTTTCCGACAGGGTCGCAGGACTGCCCAATTGCAACTTCGGTCATCCGTGAAACATTGCCTGCGGTACGGGAAAATGCTATCAAGTGACACATCATTTTTATGTTGTGACCACCAAGCTGACTTCCATCTCCTAGAAAACTCTTCACCTACAAAAAGGGTGTTTCCCTCATCCTGCGGGACTCGCTACCCTTGTCAACCGATAAGGACGCGGACCCCGAAACCCACATCTGCGTGACGGATCACAAAGGGACCGTGCGTGAAAAAGTGGGACCGTGGATATTCGAGTACCCCAACGGGTCCTTCTTCCAAAACAACAACGGCGTGCTACCTTTCCTCACTGATTACGTTCAGACCCAGATTTTCTCTGATGCCGGTAAACGTCCGACGCATCTGATCGATGCCTATTGTGGCTCAGGCCTCTTCGCGATCACCCTTTCCCCCCACTTTGAGCGAGTGGCGGGCATCGAACTCTCCACGGAGTCGATCCGCGCCGCGACGCGAAACGCGCAACTCAACTCGCTCCCGTCGTCCAAGATCTCCTTCCGCGCGGGGGACGCCGGCGACATCTTTCAGGTGATCGGCGATTTCCCTCCAGAGGACAGCGTGCTGCTGATCGACCCGCCGCGCAAGGGCACGGACGAGTCGTTCATCAAGCAGATGCTGATGCTGCGCCCGCGGACGGTGGTGTACGTGAGCTGCAATGTCCACACGCAGGCCCGCGATATCGGGATGATGCTGCGCGGGTCCGAGGCGGATGGGAAGAGGCGATATGTTCTGGAGAGCTTGCGTGGATTTGATTTGTTCCCGCAGACGGCGCATGTGGAGAGTGTCGCTGTGTTGAGACTAGCCCCAGCTGAGGAGTAGGTGTAACAGTCGATTCGATTGTTTAGCCTGGCATATTCGATCACACGCCGATGGACTGGTGAAAGGGTACTTGGTAACGAGTCAGGAGGGGTGTGGAGCCAACGTCAGTCAGTCATTCGATCCCTCCTAGAATGTTGTCAGGGAGACTGTGTAGTTTCATCTGGCAGGCATTCAAATTGCGGAATGCAGTGGTTGATGCAGTCCTGTTGGACATCAGAACTGCAAAGCCACGAGTGATTCCGCGGGCGGGGTTCCTTCCACACGTCGTGCGCCGGAGCTCAGGCATGAGACGATGAATGGAAAACGTGTCACGATGAAACTTGGTGACAATACGTGGTCCCCTGAAGCGTTGACCCGCGGATGAATTCCAAATTCGGTTCCACTGGATAAAAAACTCACTCTCTTTCGCTTTCGCTGTCCCCGCTCCTCCACCCCCCGAAAGTTCCTCTCTTTCCGTCCACATGGCCTCCTTCGCCCAGTTCGTCTCCATCACCGCCAACTCGGGTATCCCAGTCAGCGTCCGGTACACCATCTCGACCCCGACTGCCACGACCTCGAAAAGGATCGATCCGGGCCTGCCCACGGTCTTGTTCCTCCACCCTCTCTTCCTCGGGCAGACCTGTTTTCACTGTGAGTTGTGACGGTCAATCGCAGAGAGTTGATTGAGAATTGAACTGCGCAAGATCAATTCGCCGACTGGAGACTACGGAAGTTCAATCTCGTCGCGCTGGATCTGCGGGGACACGGGGATACAGCCGGGGTGGTGGATGAGGACTACGATCTGTATGATGCGGTTGAGGATGTCGTCAAGGTCATGGTACGGCTTTCATTTTTTGACCGGTTGAAACTGGAAACCAACTCGACGGATGGCTGTTCAGAAAGCGTTGAGACTCCCTCCTTCCCATCTCGTCGGCGTGAATTTGGGGGCGTCGATTGGGCTCGAACTCGCGGCGACGCATCCACGGCTTGCTCTGTCGCTGACATGTATATCTCCTTCCTCATGGCGACTCAAGGTGTGCTGCGCTGGCTCGATCGCAGTTGAAATAAGACTGATGCGCTTCACAGAGAGACGATTTGGTTATTCAAGAGATAGAAGACATCTACGAATGCTTAGAAGGCGGCTTGTCAAAACGCAGGAACCAGTCGGCTCTGCAGCGCGCAGCTTGCGGCATGCTACAACTGGGGGTAAACGATCTCGAATCTCCGTTGCTGGACACGTGCGTAGTACTTGCCCCCTCGCCTGTGATAATCTGGAATGACTTTGTGCTCCTTTGCAGATTAGTGAACTTGAGCATAACGACGGCTGCGAACTCGTGGGCAGGGAGAGTCAAAGAGCTCTCCCGCGCTACTGTGCGTTTGTTCGCTAGTGGACGTCCGTGTCCTCGGTCGATGCTCCGAGGGATCAGGTGCCCAGTATCCCTCGTGCGCAGTGGAGCAGATGTAGGATATGTTCAAGAATCTGTGGACGAGACATACGAGACGTTGCAATCTCAGGGCACGCTGGTCAGGACGTATGACTTGCCTGATGCGCCCCAGTGGGCGCATCTCAGCCACCATCCCGAGTGCGTTTTGTCCTCCGTTTTTTTCATGGAAAGGTGCTAATCCAGTGGCTGTTTGGTAGAGTCAATCAACTGATACATGATATCGTCGTCGAATTCGCCGCCGGGAGGGTACCCGTCGGGAGCCTCTTGCAAAGCAAGCCGTTTCCGGTGGAATCTCCTTTTGAAGACGTGTTGTGTGGGGATCCAGATTCGGATTCGGACGACGAGGATTGCTCGGAGTGAGATGAAAAGCTTCATTGGTGAGCTGCGTGCATGAGTGGTGGAAGCCCAGACCATACTTTAATCCAGCGTCTCATAATCCTTACCCTATCGCAAACTAATATTCAAATACCATCGGATGGATGACACCGACCCTGTCCTGAGAAACAACTCGATTTTTCTGATGCGCCGATGCTCTCAATTGAGGCCAGTGCCTGGCCGATGTCCCAATTGTTCGTAGCTCGGTGGGTGAGTAAGCTTCTCTCCAGGGGCTTCTGCCTATCTGCACAAAACCCAAAACACTCATCATAGGGATGGTGCTATCTTCCCAAGCTCACTCATTTTACAAAATTGAAGACGGCCGGGGAAGGCCCTGAAGCGTAAAATCGTCAAGCAGATGATTGTTTCGATGATAATTTCCCACCCGACCTTGACCGTCCGGTTGTACGCTTCAACGGGATATCATCGTAGCTGGGCCTCGTTTGAGAAGGAAACAGGTTCATAAATAGTAGGTTCAGACGAGTCTCCTGCAAGTGTTCGGAGCCATCTACTAAAGGGTCTTTGAGTAGGGAAGAAAATGGTTAATCCGTCACGTGATTCTTTTGCTCTGGTTTGTGGCTGTATACGTTCTACCCCTAAGGTATGCCGCATGAGGATCCAGGGACCCTTAGTAAGCAGTGCGTGACAGTCACGTGACGTTCAAATTCACAGTCCGAAAAACGTAGCCCTTCTTTTCGGTGTCATTATGGACATGTATGCACCCAATGTGATCCAAAATGGGTGTCCGAAGGATAATTGAATTTCTTTACGGCTACTATGACTATAGAAGGGGATCTCAACGCCGGCAGCACCGCCACTTCCTAATTGGGACGTCACGTGAATGGTCAAATCTTCCGACCCAAAATTTAAAGATGCTCAGTTCAGTTGGAAATCACTTTCTACAATAAAAGAAAACTTTTGATGCAGAATTCTTGAACCTCACATCACGCTCTCCAGGAGGCAAAATAAAAAATTCTACTCACATAGCAGGTGTGCTAAAGGCCTCCAGAAACACCCCATGTGAGTACTTTAGCTATATTCCCTCCGTGGCCGTCGTCATCTTCCGTCGCTGTTTGTCACAGTGTGACGCTTACAAAGGGTCCCTGGATCCTAATGCGGCATACCTTATCACGTCTTCTGCCTTGATTGACTATGGACTGCGGCTTGTGTCGGGACCAGACAATGCTCGCGTCACAAGATACGAGCCTGAAACACTCATGGGCGAGGCACTCCTCGAACGGCCTGATATCGTTCGCAGTCATTTCAGAATTCAGTGTTTTTCTCGGATTCTATAAGTTTCGACCCCTTGGACTACGCTTCATCTCAACGATCAGCAACCCTCACTTTCTGTTTTACGTCTCGTGGCGATGCAGTTCCGCTGCGGTCAGAAGATTCTTATCAATGTTGTCCTCCCGGGGGCTTTATGATGCCACTGGTTTATGCACTTATAACGAAACTATCGGACTTGCAGCTACTCGGAGAAACTGACAACGAATCCTTCGATGCGAATCCCATTCTTTCCTGATTGTCGTGAAGCATTCATGCACAATCATGATCATCCATTGTTCGACGTCAAACGCGGTAGCCTGGCAGCGTCGGATGGCAGGGACAGAAGCGCATGGATGCGGACAAGGTACGGCCCGTGTTCCTTTGCTTCGTTCTGCTTCGAATCCTGCTCGCCGCTCTTTGCTTTCTCCTTTTTGGTCTATCTATTTCTTTCCGCCCTCACCCGCCGCGCGCGATGCAGGGTCGCTCTTTTCTTTCGTTTTCTGGATCGCTGGGTCGCCTACTGGTCTTGGGGGGCTTGGCTGCCGCTGCTGGAGCCAAAGTAGTACCAGTTCTACAGCCGGTGCGTCCCGTTTGCTGAGCTTCCGAATACCAAAAATCATGGCTGTTCATCTCGCAGGGATTCTTCTTCGACTACACCCCTCCCGGCCAGTCGCCGCTTATACCGATCACGCGTAAGTTCTGAGCTGAGATCGCCACTGGAATAGGGTGCTAAGAGGGCATCTAGAACAGTGTGAGACTATACATTTGAAGTGGGGACGAAGTGCGTTTCCTTCATAGACCCTCGTCCTCGACAGGCACTCATACATCCACCAGACGGTGCACCGGGGTAAACTAGCCGTCCGCAAGCCTTGATCTCAGCTGACCTAGAATGAAAGACCCAATCCGGTGGCACCTTACTCGATGGTGGTGTTTACCTCGTGGGTTGTGTCTTACGCCGGAAACCTCGATTTCAATCTGTGCGACAGGAAATCCATCACACCTTTCACAATCGACGCCGGGAACGGCTTGTCGTTTGTACGCTTGGCTCTCTGCTCTGGTCAGACATCTTTACTCAAGATATGTAGGACTGGCAGGTTCCATTTAGTCCGGGAACTCAGGTGCGTTCGATGGCTGCGGAGGGATAAAAATCCCCGCATCTGATGAGACTGCTCGGCTAAATTCTGGCAGTATCAGATCTGCATGGTGCGTTATCGTGCCGTGTTTCATGCTCAATTAATTATCAATGGCTCAAACCTCTCAAGTGGGACAGCAACGGGACACCCGGAGGTTGCGAAGCTATGTATACTGTCATTCAGAATTCCACGGTCGCAACGCCTCAGTAAGTTGATTTCTGGCGCGGAGTTTCTTAGATGATTGGGTGATTGCTGAGGTGCTCACCATAGATGCCACAATGTCACCTTTCCCACTCTTCTGCAGGTCGAAACACAGCAGACTGCTGCTCCAGGTGGTCCTATCTCTCAATTTGGATTCATTGATCAGGTTCGGCCAGAGAAACAGTCTCATCTTGCGCGAACTAAAAGTCAACTCCAGTGTACCGATATTCTTGTGACACCAAAATCTGGGAAACCGCCATTTACGTTTTCAGTAAATTGACGCTCTCACTCGGAGGTTGGCTGTTCTGATGTAATTGTAAGGTATATCCGCCTTTACATCCTGCTTTCAACATCACTTCCAACTCCATGGATACCATCGACTGGACGATCTCACTGGTGAATTTGATTATTAAAAGTCGATGTAGGAGATTGATGGTTTGCTCCCATAGCCCTGGTCTTATCCTTTCTTCATTTCTCTTTCGAGCGCTGATGGACAAATGTGGTCTAATGGACCTCTCCATGCCGGAGGATTCGGACCGACGGATTGCTGTGAGTGTTAATTTGCCTTAGATGTCTTCGTCTCATCTCCATCTAGTGGCTCCGAATACCATGTGAGATTGTTTTATCTTTTCGTGCGCAACCAATCTGACCTACACACCCTCAAGGCCGATTGGAAAAGCCCAATCGATTGCAGCTGCAGCCGGATTCGGCGGTGCCCTGGGAGCATTTGCCCTCGGGGGTGTCGTCGCCTTCCTCTATCTGCGCTACCGCCGTCTCCCGCCACCGCAGATCGACGCGTTTGTCCACGACTCGGTCACCTCCCGCAGCGATTTCAGCGGCGCGTCGCGGAACAGGTCGGACTCGCATACCACGATGAGCAGCCTCGGCGCTTCTTCGGATATCCGGCGTGGCCGGACGTATGTGCTGCACCACGACGCCGGCCGGGCACCCGTCACGGTGATCACCGACTCGGAGGAGGTCGTCGAGCTCCCGCCGAGATACCACAATGGGGTGGTTCCTGGTAGTAGAGGCTCGGATGTCGCGGGTGGGAGCGCAGACGGGTTACCGATGCGCGACAAACCCCATCCGCCCCTTCCCGTGACCCCCTCGACATCGGTCAACTCGGGTTCATTTTTGTCGGCTTCATATTTGGGACCGCCGTGACAGATTGCGGCAAGGCCTGAGGCCTTGGGTTGAAGAACATACTTTTATCTATTTGAGTAGACGAGTGAATTCACAGAAAGTCTGGGTCTGCTGCATACGTGAATTGGAATTCAAATTCGGTCTCCCTCTCCAGGTTCTGCATCCGCTCCAGCAACTCAGTCGACAAAGCCCCCAGACTTTCTGGCAGGTGAAATACCTTCAGATCAAAGTCGCCTGTGGTTTCGGCCTGTACAGGTCTCCGTACCCGGCCGAGAACGAGCTGCTCCAAGCTTTGTTCGGAAAAGACGATGTGGGATGTCAGACAGAGAAAAGTCAAGCGCGGCACGAGGTCTACCACCACCAACCCGACCAGAAGATCATCCGTGATGAAAAAGTCGTCCAGGTCGTCATTTCCCTCCGAGAGCAACAGATCCTCCAAAAGAGGCAAATTTTGGAGACATTCGAGCAGCTCATCAGCTGTGATCAGGACTCGGGAAACCTCCAGGAAACGCAGGCTGGATCCGAGCTTCGACCTGAAAATGAAAGGCAGGAGCGCATCACGATCCCACCATATCGCATACGCAGGGTCTTCGAAACGGCCTTTGACAGCAAGAGAACGGAGACCGGGGGATGTGAGAGCATGGAGCACGCGTTCCATGCAGCTGACACCGCCGGATATCACCAATGTCAGGCCCTGCAGCACATCGGATAAGACGTGATGCCCGAGCCGAGGAATTTCCCCGACATGGATGATATCCGGGACGTCAACCATCAAACACACGAACGGAATGGGCAGCCGTGTCAGGAAGGCAAGTGCGTCACTGGTCAGCTTTTTATAGTCCAATGTCCATTTGAAGAGTTTGAGCTGCGGCCATGGAACATCTGTAATACGGTCGCAGGGAGCCGTTGCATAGAACCGGGTGAGACTAGGGGCTGCGGCAAACAGGCTGCGGTACTCCGCGTCCCAATCTTGCTCCTCCCACTGGGTTGCGATCTCCAAAAACCGCAGCAGCGGAATATTGCCCTTGACAGGGAGAAGTAATCGGAAGGGATCGTAATCGCTGTAGACGTCAGTCCACAGTGTGAAATGCGTCCAGCGCCGGGAATGAGCTGTCAGCAGGTTCATCACATCAACGTCCACCAGGGTGTTCGACACAGCGATTTCAACGCGGATCGGGTGGTTACCGCTTTTCCGGACGAGGGCAGTAAGGGCCGCCGCTCAGCGCCCGGTCCCAGGCCACAGGGTGGTGTCCACGATCAGCACCCTCCATAAGGACGGTGTATTCAAGGTGAGAGTATGCCACAGCGAGCATACCTAGAATTCAAATCAGGATCTTTCGCGGCGCGTGGTGGAGCTGAAAGGCCGCACCTGGGAAAATTGTATCAAATAGTTCTTTGAGAGCCGCTCCTTCTCCTGCTCAGCTGTGGTTTCGTCTGAAAGGTCCTCGATGGGTGCGCATAAGTCGAATATCTCGGTCCAGATTTCAGTTGGAACGCGCTGGGGCGGAAAGAGAGAGATGTCGTGAGAGTTCATTGAGCGTGAGTGATATGCTTGAGTTAGATCTCAAGTGCAAGTCACCGAGCTTCACTA